GAAAGAGTGCCTGGTAATGAATCACATCATTTCCTATAGTACCAGAGTTTTCCTTGGAGCTCTCCCATCAAAGTATTAACCAAATACTTAACTTGTTAGACTTGATGTGATCATAATAAGGTTGTCATGGACTTTGAGACAAAGAAGCTAAAATTAAAATACCCCTAGTTCTGATTTGTAACTTGAACCAGTGGTGACTAGTGGTTAGCGAAAACAATTGGGACATCTCTATTTAAAAAGAGATAAAAGCAGGATCTTAGAAGTCAGACCTTCAAAACAATTCCCCAATACTGGAGTCACTGATCATGAACTGAGCATATCCTAGGTATGAATTGCTTAGAATCTGTCAGTAAGATTTACAAAAAAAGATCAGGCTTCATGCTGTGCTTGGTGTAAGAATAATTACAGTTCAGAGAAGAGTTAGAGGAAAATGAAAACTGTCTGTATAAAAGGTGTAGTCCAGGCTAAACTGCCAAAGTAACCAGGTTTAAACACGGACATAATTCAGCTATGTTATAATGGGGGAGGGGGGTTGTCTACACAAGGAAGAGCACTAGATGCTATGACCCTGGCAAATGCCTAGCCTAAAGCATGGTTTTTCATGTTTTCTGTCTGTTCATATGCTCAAGGACAAACCATATTATGACCAGTTTGTGCCACTACATGTTCTATTGGCCATGTTTGCACATGTTATTTTTATTAGGTAGCCATGGCCTGATGGATTCATTTAAACTATCGACACTACAGTTTGAGAGGGAATTTACCACCCTATCACTACCATCTGTGTAGCTCCTGTAGTGCTGGTAAGGACTGGATTCCAGTGTAGGCATGGTGCAGATGTTCCTTTCACTGTGTCACTTGGACTTGCTCCAAAATTCATGCCAGCTGCCAGTCTATCCCAGCTCTCCTACAGTTGATATAGTACTGCAGTAAAAACCAGCATACCTGTAGATGCTTTAAAATACTGTATTGGTGGTAAAATATCCAGTGGAGTTAGGAAATGATTTAGCATCAGGAACATGACATGGATGGAACATGTTTACAGAAGTAATAGCAGAAAAGCAGTGCGTGAAGCGATTCCGGAATTGGTGTACCTGATTTGTTTTGTCCTGACCATGAATGA